GGGTGGCGCCGCAACCTCCCCATTGACCCTGCCTTGAGTGTGACAGGGGGCGGTGCCCCAACCCCCCAATCGGCCCTACCTTGAGCGTGACTGAGCATGGCATCACAACCTCCCAATCCGCCCTGCTCTGTGCATGACAGGGGGCGGTGCCCCCACTCCCCAATCGGCCCCTCTCTGAGCCCGACCAGGGGCTGCACCTAGGGATTGGGCCTGCCCTCTGCCACCCGGGAGCAGGCCTAAACCAGCAGGTGGTTATCTCCCGAGGGGTCGCAGACTGCTAGAGGGCACAGGCCGGGCTGAGGGGACCCCCCTCCCCTCCGAGTGCACAAATTTTTGTGCACCGGGCCTCTAGTATATATACTAGAGGCTGGTCGGGCTCAGAGCAGGGTCGATTCTGGAGTTGGGGCGCCGCCTCCTGCCATGCACAGAGCAGGGCGGATCAGGAGGTTGCGATGCCACCCTCAGTCATGCTCAGGGTAGGGTCGATTGGGGGGTTGGGGCACTGTCCCCTGTCACACTCAAGGCAGGGTCGATGGGAGGTTGTGGCGCCACCCCCTGTCATGCACAGAGCAGGGCCAATCAGGGGTTTGGGGCACTGCCCCCTGTCACACACAGAGCAGGGCCAATCAGGGTGTTGGGGCGCCGCACCCTGTCACGCACAGAGCAGGGCCAATCAGGAGGTTGGGGTGCTGCCCCCTGTCACACACAGAGCAGGGCCGATCAGGGTGTTGGGGCGCCGCACCCTTTCACACATAGAGCCGCAGGGCGATCAGGGGGTTGGGGAGCTCCCAACTATCAGGCACAGAGCAGGGCTGATCAGTAGGTTGTGCCACCTTCCCCTGTCACAAGGAGAGCAGGGCGGATAGGGAGGTTGTGGCCCTGCCCCCTGTCACACACAGAGCCACAGGGCAATCAGGGGGTTTGGGTGCTGCATCCTGTAACCCTGATCCCAGTGCCGGGAGGCCTCTCGGCTATGCTGATCCCAGTGCTGGAAGGCATATTACCCTTTTACTATATAGCATAGAGGCCTGGTGCATGGGTGGGAGCTGGCTGGTTTGCCCTGAAGGGTGTCCTGGATCAGGGTCGGGGTCCCCACTGAGGTGCCTGTCCAGCCTGGGTGAGGGGATGAGGGCTGTTTTCAGGCTGGCGGGGTACTGCATCTCCCCACTGCTCCTTGTTTTCTTTTCTTTTTTTTTTTTAAATTCTGGGCCAGCTTTAGCTCTGGGTCCAGCTCTGAGGCCTCTGATGCTGAAAGCAGGTATCTGGTTTGTTTGGGTTCTATAATTGAAACTCTGTATCAACTCCAGCTCTGAGATCCTGGAGGGCTAAAAGCAGGTTTTTGGGGTTTTGTTTAGCTTCTATATATGTTACAATGTTTCAAACTGCAAGCTCAGAGGTCGGCAAGGCAGGCGGGGAACGTTGGAGACCTCCCTCACAGAAGCAAGCAAGCCTCATGATAGTTTCAAGCTGCCTGGCTGCCGGCCACGATCTTGGCTGGCAGTTAATTTGCATATCTCACTGATTAGCCAATGGGAAGGGTAGCGGACATATGCTAATTACCATGTTTCTCTTTTATTAGATAGGATAGCCTCCCAGCTGGCTTGGCTCAGTGGTTGAGTGTTGACCTATGGACTAGACGGTCAGGTTTAGTTTCTGGTAAGGGCACATGCCTGGGTTGTGGGTTCCATCCCCAGTGTGGAGCTTGTAGGAGGCAGCCAATCAGTGATTCTATTTCATCACTGATGTTTCTATCTCTCTCTCCCTCTCCCTTTCTCTCTGAAATCAATAAAAATATATTTTAAAAATGAAAATAAATATATCTCCCCAGGCAAGGGAAACAAAAGAAAAAATAAAGAATGGAATGACATCAAACCAAAAGTTTTTGCACAACAAAGAAAACCATCAACAAAATGAAAAGCCAACCAACTGAATAGAAGATATTCCCCCAATGACACACCTGATAATGAGTTAATATCTGAAATTTATAAAGAACTCATACAACTCACCACCAACACAAACAAACAAAAAACAATCCAATCAAAGAATGGTCAAAGGACCTGAATAGACACTTCTCCAAAGAGGACATACAAATAACTAATAGACATATGAAAATATACTCAATGTCAGTAGTCATCAGAGAAATGCCAATTAAAACTGCAATGTGATATCACCTCACACTTATCAGAATGGCTACCATCAATAAATCAACAAACAACAAGTTTTGGCTAGGATTTGGAGGAAAGGGAAACCTCATGCACTGTTGATGGGAATGCAGACTGGTGAAACCACTATGGAAAACAGTATGGAGGTTCCTCAAAAAACTAAAAATGGAACTACCTTATGACTTAGCAATTCCTCTTCTGGGTATATATCCAAAGAAACAAATACACTAATTTGAAAGAATATATGAATATATGCATGCCTATGTTTATTGTGGTATTATTTACAACTAGAGGACCAGTGCACAATTAAATCGTGCGTGTGTAGGGCCCCCTAGGCCTAACCTGCCATCAGGGCCATGTCCGCTGCCCCATGACACCTCGCATGCTTCGCATATCTGCCAATGCCTCGCGATGCTCCATGGATGCTGCTGACACCCCTCTATGCTCCGCCGTCGCTGTTGGTGCCCCAGGGGGGTGAGGGGAAGGCCTGAGAGGTGCTCCATGCACCTCCTGGTGACAGGTCATTTGGTTGTTACATTGTTATGGCGTTATGGCCACTGGCCTTTTATAGTATAGACTAGAGGCCCAATGCATGAAATCATGCGTGGGTAGGATCCCTAGGCCTAGTCTGCAATCAGGGCCATTTTCTGCCTGCTCGCCAGTCCCCAGTCCCACCCCGTCACCACTCCCCGGTTCACTGTGGTTCCCCCATTTGCCATGCTGCAATCAGAGCCTGCGGGCTGGGGGTGGGAGGGAAAGGACCAAGAGGTCAGCCATTCTGACCACTAGCCAGTCCTGCCCCACCGCCACCCACACTAGTTTGCTGTGGTTCCCTGTTCGCCATGCTGCGATCGGAGCCTGTGGGCTGGGAGTGGGGGTAAGGACCGAGAGGTGGTCAATACACTTCATAGCGACTGGTCAAGTGGTCATTCTGGTTGTTACACTTATGGTTGCTGGCCTTTTATTATATAGAATAGCCAAGCTATTGAATCAACCCAAGTACCCATCAATAGATGGGTGGATATTTAACAAAGGAGGCAAGAACATAAAATGGGGGTAAAGACAGTCTATTCAATAAATGGTGTTGGGAAAATTGGACAGATCCATGGAAAAAGAAGGAGAAGAAGAAGGAGAAGGTGAACAATAACATATATGGTGGTACATATATACAATGAGATATTATTTGGTCATAAAAAATGAAATATTATTTGTGACAGCATGGATGGACCTAGATGGTATTGTGCTAAGTGAAATAAATCAGTCAGAGAAAGACAAATACCATATGATTTCACTTATATATGGAATCTAAAGAACAATGTAAACAAACAAACCAAACAGAAATAGACTCATAGATACAGGGAACAGACTGATGGTTGCCAGAGGGGAGTTGGTGTTGGAACTAATAAAAAATGTGAATGGATTGAGGAGTACAAATTGGCAATCTCAAAATAGTCATGCAGATATAAAGTATAGCATAGGGAATGTAATCAATAATACTGTAACAATTAAGTATGGTGTCATGTGGGTACTGGAAATACTGAGAGGGAAATGTTGTACAGTTTTTGATTGGCTAACCACTATGATGTTGTTCACCAGAAACTAATACTAAGCAATATTGAATGTAAAGTTTAGTTTTAAAAAGAATGCCTCATATATATATATACATATATATATACTAATAATGCTTAGGGCTGTCATGACCTAAATGACCAGAAGGACGACCGGTCACCAGGAAGTACATGGAGCACCTCTC